CATTGTGTCCCGTAATACCATCAGTGCTGTTGCCATTATCCCTATTAACACGACTAATGGTATTAATAGGGTTAGTAGTATTGGTGGTAGTTGTGTGGAGCCTGGATTGGGCGCCCTTGGGGATGGGGGCGGGGTCGAAGGAGCGCCCCCCCCTGGCGACCCACGCCGCAAGGGCGAAGGCCGGCGGTCGGTAGAAACGACAAGCGCCGCGCATGGGGGTGGCGGAAACGCGAGACGGGAATGTCGTGCGGGTTTGGAAAACTCCCTAAAGAAGACACCTCGTGAGGGGGAAAAGGTTGGAGGAAAAAAGAAAAGATCATTGAGGAAAAAACAATCCTGTCGGGTGTTCCAGCAGAACTATCTCGAGTAGCGTATTGAGGGTTTCATGTCAGCATTTTTAATATTTACAGGAAATAGGTTATCCATTCTAAAGTGGGAATAATGGGAATTATTCCATACTTTGATGAAAAATAATTAATTTACAATGAATTTTGTTTGCGTTTACCACCATCTGATAAAATGCTCAAAATAAGGATCGTGAAGAGAGCTACACAAACAGAAACCTAAAGGTGTATGCATATATTGATATATTCGATTTATTTAAAGCAATTGCAGGACATATAATAGAAATGAAAACAATCATCGCTAATAGCATATATATGAAACTCTTGAATTTGATTATTCGTAAAGTACCACGTTCAAAATTCGAGATAAGCAAATATAAAAATAAATATATACATAACTATTTTAATATTTATGTATTTACTAAATTATAGAAAAAAAAATATCAAAAGCCAATTATTTTTCCATACGTTGTTCCAGAGTAAAAAAAAATAATCCGTGATAGCTTTAGATAAGGAAAATCAGTTTATTTTTTCAGTTCAGTCTAGATTCAATAATTCTGAAGAACTTGAACCTCAATTTTTATCATTGTAATTACTTCATTCCCCTTAAACTATCGCTTGGCAAGAGTTTTCTAATATTGTACCTCTTCCAATTCATTGTGAGGTCCCGCTTTGAGCAAACAAATCCAAAGATAAGTACTAATCAAGAAGAAACATTTAATTTAAATAAATAAATAAGAAAAGCATATATCACTAATACATTTCAAACAAACTCCCAAGACATCGAGGTGAATAAGAGCCTTTTTTTTCCTTTTCGGTTTAGTCCACCAGGGGCGTTCATCGCTCCAGGTTAGGAAGGGGGTACTTTTTCTCCCAATCCTTTGGATTTGTAAGTTGAGAGTTCTTTCCTAAGGATAAAGCCAAAAATTTCTTTTCGCGCTTTGGTGTGAGTGAAGGGAATTTATTTTTGTAAAGCGTCGCGAATCGCTCATTCGTGAGTCTTGCCTGGATGGATTTCACCTCCATTTCATAGCAATGAGTGTTTAAAACGCAGGCGCGAAGAAGCAGAGTCGCGCAATCCGCCATACCAGGCTTTAACGGCATTAACGTTTTATTAAAATTCTCTTTATTAGGGTTAGGGGTGGTGGTGGTGGTGGGGATATTCGAAGGAGTCGCATCCGAGATGTCCTTCCGTTTCGCGTCGTTCGAGGAGGCCAACCATTTCGTCATGGGAAGCGGCGGTAAAGAAAGCCCGGAGGTGGTCAGGACGGACTCCCGCGACGGCGTTCGCCCGGCATTCGAGATCCGCTCGCCGTTGGGGAAGGCGGGGGGGGCTTTGGG